GCTGCCTCAGACAGTGGAGCTTGTGGTTCTTGATCTCAGGACTGTGAGTTTGAGCTCCACATTAGGCATAGTGATTCCTGGAAACAAATGAACAGAACAAAACAAAACAAAAACACACCCAATAACTAAGAAATCAATCAACAAATTCACTAGACAGACAGAATAAGGAGAACCACATATAATCATCCGAACAAATGTCAAAAAACTCCTGTAACAATTCAATATTATTCTTTGTAAAAAACATTTAAGGAACAAGACTATAAGGGATTTTTTTAATCTGACAGAATAACTGCAAAAACTACAGCAATCATCGTGCATAGTGGAGAATTATTAGCTTTTCCTCTGCGAATGACAAGATAATCTTGTCCAGTAATATTGCTTTTTTTTAAAGATTTATTTATTTAGAGAGCACAAGTGGTGGTGGGGGAGGGCCGAGGGAGATGGACAATCTCAAGCAGACTTTGTGCTAAGTGTGGAGCCCCACGTGGAGCTCGATCCCACGACCCTGAGATCATGACCTGAGCAGAAATCGACAGTGGGAGGCTTAATGGACTGAGCCACGCAGGGAACCCCAGTAATATTAATTTTATAAAACATTGTACCAAATATGCTACCTAGTTCTATAAAACAAGAAAAATAAATATTACAATAATTGGAAAAGAAAAAATAAAAGTCTATATGGTATGATTGCATAAGTAGAAAATCTACAAGAATTTACTGATACGTTATTAGAATTAAGTACCTAAGGTTTCTTGATATAGAATTTATATAAAGTGATTGTATTTCTATCAACAGCTATTTAAAAAAAAGGAAATTTAGCAAAATACAATTTACAAAAACATCAAAAAAAGAACACCAAGTATCTATAAATAATTTTAATGAAAGGAATACATGACTTTTTAAAAATAGACATGATTCTTAAAAGTAGAAAAATAAAATTTATTGAACAAAATGAAAGATTAAAGAAACCTTTAAAAGTTAGAAAAATGAGCCATGAGCATTGATTGGGTAACCCAGCATTTAAATGATGTTGAGTTTCTTCAAACTGACCCAGAGAGTCAATATAATTACAATAAAGTCCCAATAAATTTTATTGTGAATATAAATTTTATATGGAAATGCATAAAGTCGAGAAAATCTTAAAAGTAATTCTTAAGGAAGAGAAACAAAAAAGGAGAACTTGTTCTACCAGTTATCAAGTTCCATAATAAGGACGTAGTAATTAAACCTGTTGAATTGGAGCACGGTAGAAGGATCAAGCAATGGTGGTGGCATTGATGCCACATAGATCAGTGGATAAAATTGAAGGCGCTTAAAGAGACCTACAGATACAGGGATCTTTGGTATAGAACAAAGATGGTACAATGGAGCAGTGGGAAAGGATTGGCCTTCTTCATAAATGTTGCTGGGACAATCAGGTAGGCTCTAGGGAGAAATTAAAATCGATTTCCATGTAACACCATACACAAAAGTGAAATCCAGATGAATTACATAATGATGTAAATGTAGAATTTAAACTTTAAAACTTTAAGAAGAAAATATGAGAGAATATCTATGTAACTTTATTCTAGGAAAATACATACCAAAAAAACACTAAAGATAAATGAAGGACATATATTCTATTGCATTAGAGTTAATTATTATGTTTATCAAAAGAAATAACAGCAAAAGTGAAAAGACAGCCACAAAATGGGACAAGTTATTTGACATGGATATAACTGACCAAAAAAAGATGCAACTAGAATATATAGAAAAAACTACAAATCAGTAAGGAAAATTAAAACAACCCAATCCCCAAACAAAAACAAAAACAGTCTTAAATAGGTACTTCATTTTTGTGGGAAAAAAAAAAGGAATACAAGTATGCTCATGGCGGCATATTTTTATGATAGACAAAAATTAGTGACAGCTCAAAGGCCTATAACAAAAGTGATAAATAAATTATGGCTTATTCATTCAATAAACCATAGGCAGCAACAACAATGAATGTACTGGAGCTATAATCAATAAAATAAAAAACTCTTAAAATATGATATTGAATGAAACAAAAAATACTACAATATATTGTAATTTATGTAGTTAAGAACAGTCAAGTTTAACTTCTATCATATTCAGATGTGCAAATAGACAATAAACCTAGAAAGAAAGGCTAGAAATAATTACCATAAATCAGATTAGTTACAAATTACCTCTAGAACAGTGGGAGAGGGATACAATTCATAGAATATTCTCTGGAAGTTTCTGCACTCCTGGGAATATTCTATTTCTTTTTTTTAAATTAATGCATAATGTATTATTTGTTTCAGGGGTACAGGTCTGTGATTCATCAGTCTTACACAATTCACAGCATTCCCCATAGCACATACCCTCCCCAATGTTCATCAACCAACTACCCCATCCCCCCCATCCTACTACACTCCAGCTATTTCTTAATCTGGGTCATAATTAAACCGGGTTCTGACTAATATCTATTCATGATATGTATATTTATATTTTTGCACTTTTCCATTTATGTTACCCTTTTATAAACATAAAAAAAGTTAGGAGGAATGCATAAGATATAGAGCTTGAGCTTAAGAAACTTAAAAATGCAGCTGGGATCTATGAAAAGGGAAATTAGCTGTCTTATTAGGTAGATGATATGACTCCTTGAGGTTTTAAGAGTGATAAATATATAACAGAAGCTGAATATATTTAATCAGAAAACCTTAAGAAATACCAAGGGGGAAAAAAAAGCTATGGAGAGAAATATCAGCAGCCTTCTGAAGCATTTGATGACGAGCAATCTCTTTTTACCAAATAAATTTCAATTGTCACTATTCATACAATATTTGTGATTCTCCATCTTCCCCTTCCCCTGCCCCCGCCACATCTGTAGTACAAAACTCTTAAGAATAGAGAAGACACTGTATGCTTTTTTTTTTTTTTGAAAATGTATACTTTAAGCTTTTATTTAGATGTTATCATTTTCCCCCAATCTCATTCTGTTTTTCTCTTGAATTTTAGGTGGTCATTCACCCTTACTTACTTAGGATCAGAAGCTTTCCATGTAGGACTTGACCCTGCTTGGATTTGTCACCTTGTACTGTACTAGCTTTCTGTCTCTCTATAATTATTTTAGCACTCAGAGGCATTCATCCTCTTTAATTTAATATGCATTCATTTATTTGTAAGTCTTGCTCTACCAGACTAAATGCTGACCTGAGAACTCATGTCTAGCAACGCACCTCAAGATCTCTGATCTTAGATAAGACCTCCTTGAGGCTGAAAACCTATCTTGCAAAGTCCTAATCAAAGCTTGCTTGCTATGCTGCTTGTGTTCAATACAGGCTTTCATGTGTTGGAACAATGTTTAATCCTCCTAGGTCTTTAACTTCATTTAAATTCAACATTCTCCAATCTCCATCTAATTCAGGTAAGGAAGTACTATTTAAAGATATTCGTAGCCGTTCTAAGAAATTATAAAATATTCATTGAAAGGATTTATGAGCAGAGGCATCTGGGTGGCTCAGTTGATTAAACAAGTGTCTGCCTTTGGCTCTGGTGTGATCCCAGGATCCTGGGATGGAGCACCCAACTGGGTTGCCTGCTCAGCAGGGAGTCTGCTCCCTCTTCCTCTGCCCCTCCCCCAACTTGTGCTCTCTCTCTCTCTCTCTCTCTCTCGCTCACTCTCTCCCTCTCAAATAAAAAAATAATGTACTTGTGAACAAAGTCAAGTGCTTTGATTTCTATTGAATCATTTTAATACAGAAGCACAACTGACCTTATGATTTAATAATAATAATGTCATATTTATGCATAAATTAGGAGTTTACAAAGTACTTTTATATATTTGATCTCTACAAAATCCTAAAAGGCAGGCAAAACAGTATATGTTAAATATTTCCAATTTATTAATAAAGCTTTACATATTTAAGGGAATTTAACCAAACGTATAAAGAGGATTAAATGTTAAAAGGTCTCTAAAATGATTGTTAAATATAGACATATTTGAGCTGAATAATTGAATAATTTGAATAATCGCTGAATATATACTCCCAAAATTGAATTAACATCTATAAAACATTTTCTGCACACAAAATGTGTATTTGGGGACATTTAAAAAAAAAAGGCTTACCCTTACCAACTTGAAAATACACTTACAGAGTTAATATATTAAGTGTTAGTATCATGAATGTGAGATATATAAGTAAATTCTTTGGATTGGTAAGGGAAATAAATCATTAATTTTATGCCATCATTTAGTATAGCCCTAGTACATAGTGGGCATTCAGTTATTGTCTGTTAAGTAAATTAAAAGTACTCATTAAGTATTTAATTGTGTGGTTTAAGAATATAATATATAGAAATTCTAAGGAGATGATAGTCATCATAGAAAGAACTAATAAATAAGGCTTCATGCAGATGGTACAACTTCAGCAGAATTTCAAAGAAAAGAATTATCCATGTTCTCTAAAATTTTTATTAAATTTTCTAAAAAGGAGCAAAAATACAGAGTAGGAAATAAAAATGCCATATTTAAAAGATGGAAAAGAAACCAGCTTATCTGTGGGGAAATAATGGGCAAGTTGAGTGGGTAAATTCAGGTTATAAATAAAACTTAGATTTTTTTCTAAAATACAGAAATTCATTTTTTAATATCTAATAATTTCTGTGCTTGTAATCCAAAAAATTTCAAGTACTGTGGTAGCAAGTTTCAAAGATGGCCTCCAATGATCCTTGCTTCTTGGTATTCAAGCATTTGGGTGGAACATTCTCACACTTAATTAGGGCTGACTTGCCTGACTCATAGAATCCCGTGAAAGGGATGTTGTGTGATTTCCAAGGCCTAAGCAGTAAAAGACATTATAGCTTCTACCTCAGTCTCTCAGATTGCTTTCTCTGGGGGAAGCCAGCCATCGCACTGTGAGAAGAGTCAGGCGACGCTGTGGAGAGACCTATTGGAGTAAAACTGACAGCCAGCATCAACTTGCCAGCAATGTGAATAAGCCACCTCACAAATGGATCTTCCAGACCCATCACACCCTGAGCTGATTGCTGCTCCAGCTGCAATCTCTGCAGACTTCTATCTTGTAAGAGACCCAAAGCCAGAATTGCTCAAACCTGCTCTCAAGTTACTTCCCAGCAAAAATTGTGAGAGATAATGAACAACTGTTGTCAGATATGTGTTTAAGGATGGTTTGTTGCACAGCAATGTGTGGCTAATGTAAGTGCCATCATTCAAATTTGTAATATGTTCTAGTGTTTGATACAACTTTGGTTGACATTCAGATCAGAAAGAACACCTTGTATCAAGGGAATTTTTCTAGATTTCAAGTTAAATTATTTTCTCTCAAGCTATATCCACACAGTACATGTTTAATTATACTGACTGAACTTATTTAACTGATCCATTATTATTTGCTCCATAAAGCGAAAAACATCTTTAGGATTTTATGTCTTGCCTTATTACAGTCTTAAAGTTCAAAGCTTTAATTTACTGTTGAAGAACTGGTGCAGATAGAACAAGAATAATGCTTTATCACCTTGTTTATAATAGTGAAAAAATTATAGTAGCAATAAATTTTATAAGCAACATAATTTTTCTATAGTCCAACATAGATAATTTAGCTTTTTGAAGATTTTATTTATTTATTTGAGAGAGAGAGAGAACACACAGAGGGAGAGGGAGAAACAGGCTCCCTTCTAGGCAGAGAGTAGGACATGGGGCTCAATCCCCAGAACCCGAGTTCATGACCTGAGCTGAAGGCAAACATTTAACCTACTGAGCCACCCAGGTGCCCCCTAACATAGACAATTTAAAAGTTATACACTGTAATTAATGGAAGTTATAATGTTATTTTCCTTGTAAATATATTTTACTAATGAAGTTGGCTTAGCTATCATTTGCATTTCTTATATCAGAAATTGCTTATATGAGAATTGCTGTGAATGAATTGTATTTGTCCATTTACATCTCTGAATATTGGTAAAATAATTGGTAATTTTTTTCATCTAGTGAAACTTCAGAAATTTTAAGGTGAAATTCTTTTCACTGTCATACACTTATTGGAAAATTAGGTTAGAGATACAAATGATATTACAGAAACAAATTAAATATAGTTTCAGACTTTTTTCTCAGATTAAACAGTAAATCATTTCAACTCCTTTTTCTTCTACTACTGGAATCCAATTTCCATCTTTACTCACGTTAGTTCCTCTTCTTTGACGATTTTGCTCCTACTTGTTCAAAACACAGAGATCAAATTGAATTAATGTTGTAATAAGAATCTAACCACTATTGAGCAAAATAGCAGTTGTTACTTCTTAGTTATATAACCTGATCTATCACTACAGTTCCATTTGCAAGTATGAATTTAAGATAAAATATTATATTAATTCATTCTTTTTACTTGGAATTTCCTTTCACTTTACATCTTTTCTTTGTACTGTTCTATTAAATTTGTCTACTCTTTGCTTTTGCTCTTTTGTTGTTCACTTTATATTTATTGCAACTCAACTTTATCTTATAAACAATGATTTATCTAATTATTTTCATATTACTCATTTCCTTATTATTTAATCCAAAATACTAAAAATGCAGTTCAACATACTATCCTTTAAAAACTTGATTTGGATTATTTTTTAAAATGCAAAGGTCAGACTCATTTGAAATGTTGTGCTAGTTTTGTTGATAATTGATTCTATAGTTTGCTGCCTTATAGTTTGTCTAGTTTGTTGATGACAATATCATAGGAGACAAAAATCAGAAGCTTTTCTCAGGCCTAACTTGATTGCACTAGGCTTCTATGTAGGTCTGTGGTATATTTAAGACATTACATCATTATTAATCACCAACTCAGCCTTTACTTTATACCTATATTATCAGTCCCTAAAACAATGCTGGCTTTAAGCCGGTTTGCTTTGGTTCTTAAAAGCAGATGGAAACAAAGTATGCTAGTATGAGGAGAAAAGAGAAGGACAGAAAATAATTAGGGTTGACTTTCTGCTATATGGAAAAGCTATAATTTGTTGCATTTCAAGGCACTTTATGACTAATTAGGTGGCCTTAAGAAGCTTTCACCTAAAACAATATTTCCAGGGCATATAATGAATATAGCTGGCAGTGCTTGAGATAATTTGGGGGATAAATGTCAGAGAATCAAATAATTTGGACTCAAATCTCTATTGTACTTTTGGTTATCTCAGTGTATGTTTTGTGTTCTTAAATTTTTGTTATGGCCTAACACTAATTTCACTTTCAACACAGACCATGCAGGATCAAGCATGGGACCACCATAGTTAAAGATATCTTTATGGAATATGACTGTTTTTATGGTTTTTATTTTTCTGGTTAATGACCAGAGATCTTACTCTTCTTTTGTGGTACCCTTATAATATTTCTTTTTAAAAACTGGATTAAATTTTTTAAAAGTGATTTTACTTTTAAGGAAAAGAGTAAGGTAGAATAAAGTAATGGAGTAAAGTAGAGTAAAGCATGTGAAGAAACAAAGGTGGAACAGGAGTGGATGAAATTTTGAACACATTTTCCTGGAGATGAAACATCAGGAGAGAGCTCGAGCCAACTTTGGCATTTTCTTCACTATCTCTTTTTTCCTTGCTAGTAGGTTGTTAAAATGAACAGGAGTTCTGAGGACACTATGATAGTTGGTTAGTGACTCTTCTGAACTTAACAAAAACATTTTACCTCAACCTTTGTCACCAGGAGAATATGAAGAATGTGTTTTCAAATGTTATAGAAGTCTCTCTGGAGGTAAGAAAAAATGCCAAGAACATAGAGAAAATGCCCCACAAATGATTCCCAGATTTTGAAGTGACCCTATATCAGGAAAAATATAATAAATCCAAATTTATCCACTATTCAACACTACTAAGTTTACATAAGAGTAGAGATATGTTTACAACTAGTAATAAAGTATAAGAAATAATGATTTACCATTAAATGGAGAAAATTTATTTCAATATGAAGTTTCAATAATGAATCAGTCATATGTTCACTATAAAATCAACCCAAGTTTTTTGCTTTCTAGTTTTAGGAAGTAGTACTTCTATTTAAAATGACAGTAGTACCTCTATTTAAAATGATAGAATAATTAAAATATTTTGAAAATTCTGACTATCCAGGAAAAATTTACTCACATTTGTCATTTAATTAACATTTAATAAGGGCTTGTTGTTAAATACTATACTAGTAGTTGAAGATACACAGATAAGTGTTAATGCTATTTACTAGAATTGCTTGAAAATTTATCATTCTGGTATATTTTACATAATGATTCTAAACTAATAACCATGTTTATACAGAGTACCGTATTTCTTAGGAATTCTCAATAAAAGAAACCAATTATATATTGATAGTAATGTGAAATGACACCTATTGGTTTTCCCTTATTAATATTTCTGTCACTTTGTCAGGAAAGTAAATTTGTTTTGACATGAATCTGTCATCAAAACCAGGAAAAAATAAAAGCAGTTTACAGGTAAATGTCAACTGTGATCTAACGCTAACCTTCACACTTAGGAAATACTTTTTTTGCTCAGCATTGCTAATATCTCGGATTTAAGTAATTATTGATGCTGCATTGAAATCTTTTTTTCTGTAGAGTCTATTTGTTCTGATAATCTCTCCTTCCACCTGGGTGAGGCAAACAATTTAGGACCTACTCTGTCTGGAAGGATTTTCTATAGAACAAATTTATGATTACCCTCTTCTCAATAAATGCATTGTCATAATCATGAATTAGCAAATCTGATTTTCATTCTAGTAAATAGCATTTAATAAAATAAGGAAATCATTTTCTGTAACTCAGGTGTCACCTGGATGTCACCACGCTCAGATTCAACTTTAACGTAAAACCTTTAAAGTAAAACCATGTTCAGATTTGACTTATTTTGTCCTCTGGGTACAAGCCCAATGCCCTGCGTTTCTGCAAATCCTTCATGGCAGGGGAAGGAGTAGGTTCTCATGCTCCCACCTTTCTTTCTACCTCTTGCACCCCTCAAATCAGGTACGACATTTGGCTTCTTGTGAGTTTTTCTTTAACTCCACTTCAGCAAAATCCAAAGGACAGCTCCCCTTTCTTTCGTGCATGCCCTGAAAGATCCACTTAACTGAAGTCTTGATGGGTAATTTGTAGACTTAGTGCGTAGTAGCTGATATTACTGAAAGGCCAGGTTTTACGTAAGAGCTATGCAAAGTTAAGAGAGTATTAGGTATCCTCAGTCTGAAAAGTCCTTTGGACACTTTACCTTCTTCCTTGGCCTTTTCTCTCTCTTCTTCCCCAATGTCTTTCTCTTACTGTTAGGGGTAAAACACTGAGGTCATTTGGCAGAGCAATCCAGTTCTCTCCAAACCTTTCTCTCACATCTATTATAGTTCTGAACATCCTTTTGAATTTCCAAAATTGCCTCTTCCAAGGGTATGCCTGACAATTTGTAATTAGCTAAGAGCAAGTTTTCTATCCGAGTTTCTGTATTTATATTTTAAGAAGGATCTTGGAGTAACTCATTATTCTAGGTGAAATTGGACAATATCATGCAATGGGGCACTACTTTTAAATAATGAAGTAAATTTGAGTAATTGAGAAGTAAAAGTATTATAATTTTCTTCTTGTTCTCCTTTACTTGATATATGGATTTTTTTTTTCTCCTGCTGTCACAGAGCAGACACTTCCCAACCAGGCTTTGAGAGCATATTCTGGAAATGTGTCTGTTGCCTACTATTAAATACAAAAATCTGTTGCAATGTTCAGTGTAGGCTCCTTCTTTTTCCAAAGGCTGCATCTGTCCCACAACACGCAGAGTTATTTTTAAATGTGTTAGATTTAATTAACCCACCACAAGTGACTCCTTTGTTGACGTCCTAATGGAATGTTCAAAATATTAATTCGGAAAATATATATAAAAGCTAGACCCTGAAATCGGAAAGCAGATACTTTGACTACTTTCTTGTTCTTATATAAATACATGATGGACTCCTACTGGGCTTGTGGTTCAGAACAGTTTTTCCATCTCCAATGTGGAGGAACTGTGGGGAGACAGATTCATAGGAAGAAAAGATACGTTTTTGTTCTAGCACTCAGGATTGGCATATGCTAGAACCAAAAGGGCTCTAAGTCTCCTGCTCTGTTGGT